TTGCAAAGGCAAATACCAAAAATCAAGATTTGGCTTCTTGTAAATTACTTGTCAGACTGACTTTAATGCGCTGTGCCCACAGACCAAAGTAGATGACTATTGAAAAGGAAAAGAAAAAGGGAGAGCAACAGCATGGAAGAGAGTGGGGTTTGAGTAAGTGGAAAAGGGAAAAGAACTGGCAAAGTGAAGGTAGAGTACTAGAAGAGGAAAAGGGGGCTTAAAACCTAGGGATGTCATAGGGGGACAGAACGGAGAATTATAAGAGGAAGTGGAGAGAGAGGCAAAAATTGAAAGCAGGCCCAAAAAAATATACAGGAAAGATACAATAGGAAAAACGAGAAGAGATGAGGAATGATGGGAGAGGGGTAGAAAATATATGAAACCAGTGTAATGCAGCAACAATGCCAGCCATTGCATAAATAGACGAGGTGTGGGATATTCGGACTTAACCCAAACAGGGATGGGGGTACTCTGACCCCAAAATGTTGAACTACAGATATATGTTCAAGACAAGTGGAATCAGAAGTAGGCACAGAGAGAAAGGAAGAGTTGAGTGAAGTACAACATTCAAAAAATCCTGCAGAAAGAGTATAGAAAGGAAAGGAGCCAGAAATTAAAACTAGGATTTAGATTAGGAAACATGAGAAGGTTGGATTTGGGCCTGCAAGAATGGATTAAAAAATAGATGATCTGGCATTGGGAGAGGACAGAGATAGGGAAGTAACCTACTGTCTCTCCCCTCATTTGCCTGCTCTTTTCAGTAATGTGTCCTGTTCATTACTATGCAAATAAAGGATAATGTTTTGTAATGGTTGCAGTGTGTATACCTGGAAAATAGTGATAGAAATGTTGTCGTGTTAGTCTGGTGTAGCTGAAGCAAAAAACAGGACTATGTAGCACTTTAAAGACTAACAAGATGGTTTATTAGGTTTCGTGGGCCAGACCCACTTCCTCAGATCAAATAGTGGAAGAAAATTGGCACAACCATATATACTAAAGGATACAATCAAAAAAATGAACACGTGCACCCAGGAGCAAGTCTGCATGAAAATAAAAGAACTAAGGCAGGCCTACACCAAGGGCAGGGCACAGGAATCACCAACAGCATTTGTTATGCAGGTGCATATTCTTGACATTTACAGAGCAGCCACATGGTACTCGGTTCATATTTTCTTAAGTCACTACGCTATTGCGCAGCAGGCGAGGGACAATGTGGCCTTTGGGAGTGCTGTGCTGCCATCCATTGCAAATTAGGCATTGATAGACGTTGACCCCACTTCCTAAGGTACTGCTAGGGAGTCACCTAATTGGAATGGACATGAGCAAGCACTTGAAAAAACAGTAACTTATCTCGTACTACTTGTGTTGCTCATGTCCATTCCAAATTCCACCCACCTGGAAGAAGGAACTGAGGGGGTGGAGGGCCAGCAGAGGTCTATATATGCCAATATAGATGCATCACTCTAGGGGGCTCATTGTCTGGCCCAACAGATACTGCTAAGGGAATAAAGCTCTAGAATATGTGCATGCAGCATGCACACATACCTAATTGCAATAGACATGAGCAACATATTTCAAAGAATAACCATTATGAGGTACGTAACTGTTTTTTCCACATGCAGAAGTTCTGGAGCCACTGCCGGTCATCCCTCTGCTCCATGACAGTGTCATCCCACCAGTCGGAACTGGTGTTCCAGCACCAGAAGTGGCAGCGCACAGTGCAGGGGAAGATGAGAAGGGCTGTGGTGCATGAGAAGCACGTAGCCTTGGGTGAGGATGTGTCCCAGAGTGAGCTGCTGGTCCTGCAGTGCAATGAGGGCAGCCTGCATCAACTGCCAGGAGTCAAAGAGCCGGTGACTGCTTTGCAGCAGGTCCTGCTCCATGGCAGAAGTGCTGTGGTGTCCACAAGGGCAACCAGAGCATGCAGTAAAAGGGTTTGCTGTCCCTCAAGGAGGTGAGGGTAGGCTATGGGAAGGAGACTGAGACACGGTTGTAGAGGGGAGCCCCTTTTAGCATGAGCTTCAGGCAGCAGCTATAGGAAGTGACTAATGCCCTGCCCAGAGTGTTTCCAGGGGGCTTTAAATGTGATTCAGGCTCCAATCAGTGTGGACACCAATATAATTGATACAATTATATCAATTATTTTGATCTAATTCTGCACTATTTTGATGGGGATTTGTAGTGCAGATACGCTATTTCAAAATAGTTTGAGTTATTATTTTGAAATAACTTGGTAATGTAGACATACCCATTGGTACTGGTCTTGTTGGTTTTCTAAAATAACTCCTGATGAAAGTATCACCTTTCCCTTTATGATAATTTGCAAATAAAGTGTTTACCAATTCTGGAATCAGAAATTGGTTTTCCTTATAGAAATTTGCCATTCTTTTCAGAAGAAAGGTGATTTTGTATTAAAAAAAAAAAACACTTTTAGTTCTCTGTAGCCCAGGATTATTTGTTCAGAGGAAGGTAAATAAGTGAAGATATGTGGTGCATTGGACCTTGAAGTTGGTCATTTGGCAAATAGTTTATTTGCGGAGATAAGTATTTGAAAGCAAAATCTTCTAATTTCTACTATAGATGAATACAAGTAACTTGAAAAACCTTCACCCCAATAGAAATCCTGAAGTAAAATTTGGATCTTTTTTTTTTTTTTAAGTGGAACACTCTGCCACCACTTGTTAATGCAGCCTTCTTGTTCAAAAAGGGGTCCGCACAAGTCACATTATTAGAATCAATTTTTTGATAGGAAGGTATGTTGCCTTTCTCCTTCGATAGCGCATAATCTTCAGTGGGTTTTCCTTTCTCCCCCTATATTATTGGATGTAGAGTAGACCTTTTGTCCTGGCTTTTGCATGGTCTGAGCATTTTTCAAATTTCTCTGTCTCTCTTAGAAAGTACAGATAGTAGGCTAAACATCTCTGTACCAGCTTTTTCAGATACATCTTGGTTCTTATTTATTTGTTTGGAACACATAAAGGGAACCTTTTTTTTTTCTTAAGTTTGACACATTCCTCCCACTTCCCCTCAGTTTTCCTGCTGGGCCAAAGATTGCAGAGGAGCAGATAATTAAAAGCTAGGAAATATACATCTGTGTTCTGTATAATTACAACATAGCATGGATTGGAATGAAGCAGAAAGAGATGCTTCAAAGCACAGAATAGCTGCTTTTTGCTTCAGTTGTTTCTGTTTAGGTGAGTGGTTCCTGTCATTTTCCATTCTGTTGTCTCCCTCTCACTTGTGTGGTCATATTCTGCCTCAGGGTGAAGTATTTTGAGTAAGCCTGTGCTGATTATCAAAGATATCACTACATTGAGCAGGAAAAATCCCTGTATCTTCTTTGAGCTCAAAAAAGTTATTCAAATCTTTGCTATGAGAAATGCAGCATATTTTGATGTGGAAGAGGAGCTGTAGGTGCTGAATGCCTATTTTGTCTTAAAAGTAGGGAAGAGACATGCCCTTATGAAAGATAACAATGTTAATGGCCTCATCAGGTACCTTTTTCAGTTCTGGTTTTCTTTTTCTTCTCAAAGCTTGCCATTATTTTGGACTCGCTATTCCAACGTCCCTGTAAACCTAATTCTACAAGGAGTAAGGGGCTTTTTGGAATAGCACTTTATTTTGAAATTTGGTGCTGTCTAGCCAAATGACAAAATAAGCTATTTCAAAATAGCATTGAAATAAGATACAGAATTTGTGTAACTCAAAGTGAGTATCTTATTTCGAGTTAGTGCTGTGTAGAAGCAGCCGTAGTCACAAAGCATTAGTATTTTCTTACACCATCTGTGCAAATGCTAATACAGTGATGCAAATCTAACTCAGCTGCAAGAATGGATTGTTTAAAAGATTCAACATCATATTTTCTGCTGTAGCACATCATGTCAGTGGAGAACAAAATGAAGTCCTTGTCAAGGATGATGCTGAAATACTTTCCAGGCAAATTAGTAACTACAGAAGAACAGTGAGAGCTTTGTCTCTTGTAACACAAAGCAACAGTACAACCTGCCACCCTGAGCAGAGTTGCAGTACCTACAGATAAAACAATCGCTAATACATTCATTTGCTCTGGAAATGCTGGAGGCCCCAGATACACTAGGAACCTTGAAATGCTTCATTAATTTTCAAGGTCCATGTCTACTATGTATGCCTTACTAATAAAGATGAATTCTACTGGTCTGGAGTTCTTTGAAAAAGCATGGACAGGTGAATTTTATCACAGCACTTAAACGAACCCCAATGACAGAACCTATTGCAGAATGTTAAATATGTTTCTGAGGTAAAACATGACGCAGCAAAAGGTTCTGTTCAAAATGCATCAGTCCTCCTCCTTGTTCAACAAATTGCTCAAACAAAGAAGTTGGGTTATAATTTGCAGGAGTTAATGCTGCCTGCTTCTTGTTTACAGTGCCACCTGAATGTGAGAGCAAGGCGTTCACCTTGCACTAAAAATTCATGTGTCCTTTCATACTTCAACCATTCTTCTGGACATCATGTATTCATGTTGATGATGGTTTCTGCTCAATAATGATTTAAAACAAAATAGATTGATGCATGTTTGTTTGCATCATCTGAGTCAGATGCCTCCAACAGAAGATCGATTTTCTTTTTTGGTGGTTCAGTTCAGTAGTTTCTGCATCAGTATGTTGCTCTTTCAAGACTTCTGTAAGCACACTCCACATCTCATCCTCCTTGGAAGGCACTTTAGACTCTTAAACCTTGGATAGAGTGCTGTAGCTATTTTTAGAAATCTCATAGGTATCTTCTTTGCCTTTGTCAAATCTGCTGTGACTGTTCTTAAAACAAATATGTGCTGGGTCATTATCCGAGACTGCTATAACGTACTATATAGCAGAATGAAAGTAAAGTAGAGCAGGAGACATAATATTCTTCCCCAAAGTATTCAGTCACAAATTTAATTAACACACATTTTTAAATGAGCATCATCATCATGGAAATGTATCCTTTGGAATGGTGTATGAAGCATGAAGGAGTATACAAATATTGAACATAACTGGCACATAGATACCTTGTAAACTGGCTGCAAGAGTGCCATGCAAACAACTGTTTATATTTTCAGGTGACATCATAAATAAGAAGCAGTCAGACTTATCTCCTGCAAATTATAACCAAACTTGTTTGAGTGATTGGCTGAACAAGAAATTGGACTGAGTAGACTTTTAGGTGCTAAAGTTTTACATTGCTACATAATTGCACTCAAAACTAAAACATCTTTTTTAAGTTATACTTTCATGATAGTGTGCACTACAGTACTTGTATGAGGTGAACTGAAAGATACTATTTCATTTTTACAATGCAAATATTAGTAATTAAAAATATTTAGTGAATACTATAGATTTTGTATTGTGTTGTAAATTAAATACATTTAATTTAATATTCTCTAACAGTTCAGTTAATCATGATTAATTTTTAGTTAATTGCATGAGTTATGCAATTAACAGCCCTACTGAAAATTACTAAAAATATTTACAAAAATCTAGGTATGTTTTTAAATCAGTCTAGATAACTTGCACTCAGGAGTTCTAAAATAGTTGGCTTAGGATCAGTAGATTGCTGATAATTTTTTATTGTATGGCACAAGGGAGTGCCAGAAGAATTGTAGAAGTAGCAATATTGGGCTAGTATTTAAAAAGGGCAAATGTGATGGGATAACTATATAGATTGACTAGCTTGACATCAGTTATGAGGAAAATAATAGAAAAGCTGATATGGGATTCAGTTGGTAAAAATGTAAAGCCGGGAGTAGTCAACAGGCAGACCACAGGACAAATCTGAACGACCAGATGCTTTTGAGTGGAACCAGACATCATTATTGTTGTTTCTTTATTTCTTTGAAGTCTGGATCTTGACTATAACTTGACCAAGAAATCTGGTCCTTGACAAAAATAATTGATAACCCTTGATTTATAGGAATATAATTCTTGAAAGCATGATTTTATGGAAAATAGACCTCATCAAACATCTGATTTTTTTTTTTGAGATTACAATTTTAGTTGATAACGGTAAGTTCATTGATGTAATATACATAGGCCTGGTCTACACTACAGATCTTTATTGGTATAACTACATCACTTGGGTGTGAAAAACCCATATACCCAAGCAACACAGAATCATAGGGCTGGAAGAGACCTCAGGAGGTCATCAAGTCCAGCCCCCTGCCAAAGGCAGGACCAATTCCAATTAAATCAACCCAGCCAGGGCTTTATCAAGCCGAGACTTAAACACCTCTAGGTATGGAGATTCCACCACCTCCCTAGGTAACCCATTCCAGTGCTTCACCACCCTCCTAGTGAAATAGATTGTCCTAATATCCAACCAAGACCTCCCACACTGTAACTTGAGAGCATTGATCCTTGTTCTGCCATCCGTCACTTCTGTGACAGCCTTTCTCCATCCTCTTTGGAACCTCCTTTCAGGAAATTGAAGGCTGCTATCAAATTCCCCCTCACTCTTCTCTTCTGCAGACTAAATAAACCCAAATCCCTCAGTCTCTCCTCATAGGTCATGCGCTCCAGCCCCGTAATCATTTTGGTCACCCTCCACTGGACCCTCTCCAATGCGTCCACATCCGTTCTATAGTGGGGGGCCCAGAACTGGACACAGTATTCCAGATGTGGCCTCACCAGAGCTGAATAAAGGGGAATATTCACTTATCTGGATCCACTGGCAATGCTCCTCCTAATGATCCTAGTATGCAATTAGCCTTCTTGGCTACAAAGGCACACTGTTGACTCATATCCAGCTTCTCATTCACTGTAATCTGCTGAACTGCTACTTAGCCATTCAGTCCCCAGACTGTAACAATGCTTGGGATTCTTCCGCCCCAAGTACAGGACTCTGCACTTGTCCTTGTTGTCCTCATCAGATTTCTTTTGGCCCAATCCTCTAATCTGTCCAGGTCACTCTGGACCCTATCCCTGCCCTCCAGCCTATCAACCTTTCCCTTAGTGTCATCTGCAAACTTGCTGAGGGGACAATCCATCCCCTAATTCAGGTCCTTAATAAAGATGTTGAACAAAACCAGTCCAAGAACTGATCCTTGGGGCGCTCTGCTAGAAACCGACCGCCAGCCTGACATCGAGCTGTTGATCACTACCCGTTGGGCCCAACAGTCTAGCCAGCTTTCTGTCCATCTTACAGTCCATTTATCCAATTCATACTCCCTTAACTTGCTGGCAAGAATATTGTGGGAGACAGTATCAAAAGCTTTGCTAAAGTCAAGGTATATCACATCCACTGACTTTCCCATATCCACAGAGCCAGCTACCTCATCAGAGAAGCTAATCAGATTGGTCAGGCACTACTTGCCCCTTCATGAATCCATGTTGACTATTCCTGATCACTTTCCCCTCTTCCAAGTGCTTCAAAATGGATTCCTTGAGGCTCCCCTCCATGATTTTTCCAGGGACGTAGGTAAGGCTTACCAGTCTGTAGTTCCCTGGATTGTCCTTCTTCCCTTTTTTAAAGATGGGCACTGTATTTGCCTTTTTCCAATCATCCAGGGTCTCTCCCGATCTGCACGAATTTTCAAAGATAATGGCCAAAGGCTCCACAATGACATTTGCCAACTCCCTCAGTATCCTTGGATGCATTAAATCCTGGCCCATAGATTTGTGTAGCTTTTCTAAATAGTTCCTAACTTGTTCTTTCCCCACCAAGGGCTGTCCACCTCCTTCCCATACTGTGTTGCCTAGTGCATTTGTCTGGGAGCTGACCTTGTCTGTGAAGATAGAGGCAAAGAAAGCATTGAGTACTTTAGCTTTTCCCAAATCATCTGTCAGTAGGTTACCTCCCTCATCTAGTAAGGGCCCCACACTCTCTCTGATCACCCTCTTATTGCTAACATGCCTGTAGAAATCTTTCTTGTTACCTTGACATCCCTTGCCAGCTGCAATTTCAATTGTGCTTTCACCTTGCTGATAACTCCCCTGCATTCTCGAGCAATATATTTATACTCCCCCCTAGTTATCAGTCCAAGTTTCTACTTCTTGTAATCTTCCTTTTTTTGTTTAAGCTCACCATGGATGTCCCCGGTAAGCCAATCTGGTCGCTTACCATATTTACTTTTCTTGCTGTGCATCGGGATAGTTTCTTCCTGTGCCTTTAAGATTTCTTTAAACTACTGCCAGTTCTCCTGGACATATTTATACTGATTTAACCCACTGTGTAGACAGCACTCTGTCAGCAAGAGAGCTACTCCTGCCAGCACAGCTATTGTCTCTCAGGGAAGTGGATTAACTATGCCAACAAGAGAAACTCTTCCATCAACTTTGGTGCATCTTCACTTAAAGTACTATAGCAGCACAATTGAATCTTTGCCGCTGTTAGTGAAAGTAAGCTCTTAAACCCTTGTAAGGTGTTTTAGTATCTTATGACATTTTCATTAAAAATTAGCACTACAAAGTATTTTTTAAAACATGATATATGGATTAAAAATGAACTGACAGATCTTGATATGAAATCAAGGTGGATTTATCAACTAGGTGTTTCTAGGCCTAATGCTATTCATGATCTTCATTGTTAATTGCTGTGTAAAATACAAAATCATTACTGATACAATTTGTGGAAGAGAAAGATTGGCAGTATGGTAAATATAGATGAGGACAGGCCCAACGTAAGAGTGATTGAGATTACTTGGTAAATTAGGCCCATTTAAGCAAAATGCATTTTAATACAACCACATGCAGTTATACTTGTTATATTTTTGGGAACAAATAATGCAAGCTATAGTTACAGAATGCTTGGTAAGTTGGGCCCATTTAGGCAAAATGTATGTTAATACAGCCACATGCAGTTATAATTCTGGGAACAAATAATGCAAGCTGTAGTTACAGAATGCAGGCTATGTCTTGGAAAGCAGTTACTGAAAAGGACAAGCAATTCAATGCAAGTCCCAGAGTAAATGCGTTGACAAAAAAGGACTGATTGTGTGCTTTGGATGTCTAAATGGGAGCAATGCAACCACGCATTCCCATTCTAATGTCCTCATTTGTATGAACATTTAGAACGGGAATATGAAAAAAATAATTCGGGGGCTGGAGAAAATGTCTTGGAGTGAGAGACTTAACTCAATCTGTTTCGCTTGTCAAAAAGAAGATGAAATGGTAGCTTGATTATTGTCTGACTGCTTCCATGGGCTCTTGAATCTGGGGGAGAAAGGCTTAACAAAAATGCATGGATGGAACATGAAACCAGGCAAATTAGAAACTTGCCAGACAGGCACAAAACTTCTAACTCTTGGGTGGTTAGCCAGTGGGTAAAGCTGCCAAGAAAAGTGTTGGATTCTCCATTTCCTCTGGTCTTCAAGGTGAGTCTGCATCTTCTTGAAAGATATATACACTTGGGAGATTTGATTTTTATCGGCAAATGTGATATAAATGCATGCTAACAGACTAACAAACTAACAAATATTTCCACTTATGACAGTTGAAGTAGGCAAAGTTGCAGCATAGGAACTCCTTAGAGGTGACCTTAAAGATACTAGGAATATTTTTGTGTGATGTTGATAGCTTATGTGAATGGTTATGAATCTTTTGAATATCTTTTTGAATATCAATACTGTCATTACAAAATAATTTTGACCACTCATAATTTCCCACAATTGTAAAAATTTAAATAGATGAGTTTTAAAAAGGGTTAAAATAAACATAGTAAGTAGCCATTGACATACTTTGATTTTTTATAAATTTCAGGTTGTAAAGATATTTTAGTTAAAACCACATTATGCTCTGTCTAGTCAAATGCAAGTTACTAGACTCAATACAGGCATAATTAAGGGAAATATAATAGCCTGTGACATAAAGGAGGTTAGACTACATGATCTATCGGTCCCTTTTGGTTTTAAATCTGAATCTGTGGATCCTCCTATCTGGACAAGAGGACTTAACTATTGTTCATTCAGTTGTACTGAGAAATACTGATTTGCCTGTATACTTCTAAACTGGTTTCTAAACACCTGTAGCCCTATTATGAACTTATTTGCAGATTGCATCATTTGAAAGGGAAATTACTTTTTTTGGGGGGCGGTGGGGAAGGATTAGCAGATCCCAACATCTAAGACTGGGTTAATGTCTAGTTCAATTAAGTTGGTAATTCAAAAATATCTTTGTTTACTGAGCAAAGTGCCTCTTATGTGTTTAAAATATCCTGGATTTTTTCCCCAAATAATTTAAAGCATATTGTGCTGATCTACTTTTAGAAATCTTACTCGTATTCTTTTCATAGTTGTTAGTTTGATTTTTAATATTTCTAAATCTATATATACATTATTTTAACATCTACTCCTATGGGTGTTTGTGCCAAAAAAAAATCTGCAAGAAAAAATTAAAAATTTTCTGCATATTTTGTGTCAAAATAAAACAATGTAGCACCTCCAATAGCAATTATTTTTTTATGTCTGTAACAATACAGATAACAAAAAAGATTCAGGATTTTTTTTTGACAAATAGATTACTTAGCAGGTATATTAATACAGAACTCTGTGTTCTAATTCATTTAGACTACTATACAGAAACTTATTTATTGCACCCCTCACGAGCAATGCAAACGATATAGCTAGGGATAATGGAGGAGCCAAGGGAGAAGGATATAGCTAGACAGAAGCCTGGGTCTGAACTTGGAAGACTGTTGGGTATGAGTTGGAAAAGTATGGAATAGGGAGCTTCCCCCATGCAGACTCTGGCTTGACCCCCCTTTTACTCCCCCATTCAGTCAGGTACATCAGTACTTGGCCCATGTAGCTCTGGCCTTATACCCTTGTGCCCATGTGGCTCTGTGCCCCACTCAGCCACTCATCTCCCCATGTAACCTTGTACCTCCTCCATCTCCATTTGGCCCTGCACCTCCCTTCCTATTGTGGCCTCATTCCTCCATCCCCTAGCCCTTATGAGCCCTGTTCTGACCCTCCAGCAGCCCTATACTGTCTCCCTATTGCGCCTGACCTGGCCCAAGAAGTGCTGTGAAGAAGACAAACTCTTTCTCTCCCCTAGTGGGGGGAAAGAATTGCTGCTCTATTCTGTTTGACTCTGGTGGGTAAAAGGCAGAACTACCGCAATTTATAGCGGAAGCTTTTTTTTTTTTTTCCTCCACAAAAATGCATGGATCATTAATTATGCACATGTGCAATGACTCAGAATTTCCTCAGAGTAATCAAATATGTTTCATTTTTCAGGCTCCATTCAATCCATTAGCTAGTCAAAATTCCATAGGGGTAACTATTTTACAGAAATAATATACTCTTTGTTCACTTGTGATTTCACCCCAATTCTGATTGATGTAGTAAGATACTACATTTTCACTGATTAGTTTTTATTAAATGAAACACATGCACATTTTCCAATTGCTGTAATACCAGATACATAAACTACACAGTCTAATTTTCAGGTCCCTTCTTTTACAGCCAGTTATGTACCACAAAACAAATAATATGGCTGACTAAATATTACCAAATATATTAATGCATGATACTTAGATTTCAATACACTTTACACTTTTACTAAGTGAATAAAACTAATTAAATTACATTGAAAACTTGTATTTCAAAACATGAGGGTATTGTGTTTTGCAGCTGTTGGAGTGCTTCTACCATGGCCATGTATAGAATCATTATTAGTTGTGTCCAGAAAAGTGACTAAAATAGACATCTCAGTATTCTGTCCATGCTTTTCATGAATCATATATGCTCAATGTAGACAAAGCCCATTTCATACTAATATTTGTGCTAAAACACTCACATACAGTAGCCATGGAATAGGAAATTCTATTTATACATCATCCAAATTACTACCTTCTTGCTTCATACATTGTAAATTATATCGTGATTTTTTTTTTTATGGTGGGATGATCTTGCAATATTGGCATTAACAAAATGGTTTTTTAAACTGAAATCTGAGCAAATTTTATATGGAAATCATGGAGAAAAAATATGTATAAAATGTGGTGACATTTAAGTCACTTTTCATCACACACACACTTTTCTAAAATGTCTTCATTTGTACCAGTAATACCTAATCTTGTATTCTCATTTTGAACTCCACTTTTCCTTCATATGGGTCATGAGGATTATCGTAGGTGATTCCAGCTCCAATGATTCTGCACACAATGGTAATTTCTTTATTCCTTGTAATATTGAGAAATTTCACTGCTACCAAAGGATTACTGTAGGTTGGCTAGGATGAAACAGATTTTTTAATCTTATTTTGAAAACTTGAACTATCAAATTAAAAACACTTTTAAATTAAATTTTGATCAAATTCACATAACTTTGCAGAGATATTTCAAACTGCTAATCTAATAAAAACATAGGGGAATAAAACCACAAATCTGACTTCAGAAACACATACCTGTGCTTTTTTCCCATAGTAAGGGAAGTAGTGAAGGCTAAAGGTGCCGTTAACTGGGTAGTATTGTAGTTCCAGTGGACTGGAATCATGATGCTATTTTTGAAGATAAGAAATCAGATTTGTTAGCATGCAAACCATAAACCAGCTCTCAACTTTCAACAAGATGAAATTCAAGAAAGACAAGTGCAAAATACCACGCTTGAGGAAGGAAAAATCAAGTGCACAAATACAAATGGGAAATAACTGACTAGACAATAGTACTACTGAAATGGATCTGGGAATCATACATTTTGAGTATGAGCCAAGGATATGAAGAAGGTGAAAAAAAAAGGTCTAGTATCATTCTGAGACTTAACAGGATTGTCGTGTAAGATGCAGGATATAATTATCCTGCTCTATTGAGCACTAATGAGGAATCAGGAGGAGTATTGTCTAATTCTGGGCACCACACATTGGGAAGGACATAGACAACTTGGAGAGAGAGTCCAGAAGAGAACAAAAAAAATTAGAAAAGGTTTAGAAAATGAGACCTGAAAACTTAAAAAAAAAACCCTGCATGTTTAATTGTCATCAGTCTTCAAATATGTCAAGGGCTGTTTTAAAGAAGACTGTGATCAATTGTTCTCCATATCCACTGAAGCTAGGGCAAGAAGTAATGAGCTTAATCTGCAGCAAGGAAGAGTTAGGTTAGATAGTAACTTGAAAAGTGTTTTGTTAGGGAAATAATGATCTTCAAAGGTGCAAGAGCATCAACAAATCCTATTGAAATCAGCGGTCACTGCAGTGCTTGGAGCTTTTGAAATATGAGCATTCTGTACTTACGTGAGCTGTACAGTTCACTCTTGGTGCAGTGCCATTGCCAGGCAAAAAATTGATAATCTGAAACAATAAATGTTCACATTAGTCACTTCAGAATTAGTTACAATGTAAACAGTGGCAAAATGATGTTCAGATTTGCATATTGCTTTAGCTGCCTTTGTCTGACTCTTAGTAAGAATCGTGAAGCTCAGATCAGTTTACTTGTTGGCAACAATAAAAAAACCACTTTATGGTGAAGTATCATAATTGTGATGTGGAACACCATTGCTTCCCTTTCTGTTAGCGAGGCTAACTAATCGAATTGGATGCATTCATTTAGAAACTAGTGTTCAATAAGAAGTTTCTTAATGCATTAGTAAAATTAAAGTTTTTAAAATCTGTATTTTGCTGCCCTCTGTGAGCTGACACATCAGCATTGCCTATAGTTGAATAAATGGGCATCTCCTTCTGTGATGCTAACGGGCAGGATTCCTATCACCCATAGAAAAAACAGGGAATAAGCATCACTGGGGAGTGTGAGGCAGGATCTTCCCATCTTCTCTGCTAAAGCTTGAGCTGGTAAAATGTCTAAGCAAGGCCTTACTGGAGAAAGTGGTAGCTTTTTAAAAGGAGCCTGTTCTTCACATGCAAAAACCAAGTGCACAAACTTTCCTCTCACAGCTAGATTTTGCAGATATTCGTTTTCACTCTCTAGTTCAAATTTCATTTACTTGGTACGTGTGATGTCATAATTTTACTAATTCTCAAGTAATTCATAGGATCATCTAAGAAAAAGACAATACCTGAATTTCTAATTCAAAATTAAGTTTAGATTCATCAGCAATGGATGATACAGAATCCCCAAGCATGGAAAAGTATTCTGATTATTCTTCTAACAAACATTAGTTAATGCATCAGTCTTTTTTTTTTCAGTACTTTAGGTTTGGTACTTACTCGGTTCATTTTTATAATTAAACATGGTTCTCCTTCTGGAAATCCAAAAGTGGAATTTTCTTTGTTACAGCAGTTTTCCAGCATATCTGATGTGAACTTGCAGGAGTATTTTGTTTTGTTTGGGCCAAGGAATGAGTTTTGAAAGAAGTATTTCTCACTTGTGCAGTTGATGTTGGCATGTTGTGCAGTCGTATTATATGCTATATCAATACAAAACAAAAAAATAAAAAAATGAATTCCTCCATCTCCTGGTTCTTGGCAATGAATTATTCCCTTACAGATTATAATTTTTAATACCAGGCTACAGGGGTTTTGTTTTTCTTTTTGTTTTTTTTGTGAAAGACCTACTTGTATTTCTAAAGAGAAAGAAATCAAATAGCGTTAAAAAGAATAAATTGTACTTTTTATAATTCACTAACAAAAACTATATTAAAATGGAGTGAAGGGACAGTGTATATCAGTAATCCATATAATAAAATCTATATCAGTAAAATCCATAACGAAGATGTTACAATTATCCTCACAACAATCCTTAGAAATTCAGGAAATTCCAACCTAGGGTTTAATGTAAAATAAATCCTAATATATAGTAAGGTATTAAGGCACTGAAACAACTTTAATATGTGCTGAAGTGACATCAGGCAATAATCACATGATTACAATTAAGTCATCCATATGTATTTATGGTCACATGAGATTAAGATCATTTGAGAGAGGGAAAACTCATGGTGCTGCATTTCTAGAATCACCCATTTTACATTAATTTGACTTTTAAATTAATTAACAAGTTTACTTGTACATTTGCAGAAAATGTATTCAATACTGAATGACTGTACTGTTTTATAATCACAGTGTTGTAGCTGAAGAAAGATGTGCTATGTTTTCCTTACTAAGCAAAGAGACTAACTCTCTAAGGCTACAGCTACACTGCCATTTTTTTCGGAAGAAGATATGCAAATTGTGCTCACATTTGCATATCTTCCTCTGATTCTTTTTGCAGAAGAGGTTTTGCCAATATTTGGCCCCGTATAGATGGGGGGAAAAAAAACCCTCTTTCACAAGATCCCTTATTCCTCGTCAATCGAGGTTTACACGGTCTTGCGAAAAAGGGTTTTTTTCTGACATGCCCCATCTACACAGGGCCAAATATTGGCAAAACCTCTTCTGCAAAAAGAATCAGAGGAAGATATGCAAATGTGAGCACAATTTGCATATCTTCTTCCGAAAAAAATGGCAGTGTAGCTGTAGCCTAAGTGCAGAACTTAACTCTTCCTTCACTAGGGAGCAATGATCTCTGCTTCTCTAATGTTACGTTTATATTTAAATAAATCGTATTTCTTTTCATACCCGAAAGAAATGTGTGGAGAACTGATACGTAGTTCTCCCAGGAGCTTTTGTCAGATACGTTGTAATAAATTTCTAATCCTCCATCACCATAAACATCTGGTCGTAACGTTACCCCTTTATTAAAAAAAAAGAAAAGAAAAGTGAAGCATTTTGGGTATAAATCAATTGATTTAAACTAATTATAGATGCAACACTGAGATAAAAGCTACCAGTGGAACTCCACTGAGCCCCCGCTTGCGGTTGACCTGTACAAGAACCATAGCAAACTCTAGAAAGTGTATTCAAAAATACTTCCTACTTGCGAAATGCTTTCTTTTTCTCTTTGATTCATGAATGTCTCCCTTATTTTCAGAATGCCCTAAAATATAAGTGTCACATTTCATTTTTACTGCATTCTCCCCCAACACTTGTTAAAAATACTGCATATAACTATTGTATCTAAAAGTTTATTTCTCTGTGGAATGACTTTCCAACATGCAAACTTAACGTTTGACAGTAAGTAATTTGCCAGTAAGCTTTACACTTATTAAATGTTGAGAGAGAATATTTGAGCACAGTCAAGTAGTATCAGTTTTAGGGTTACACATCTACGTATTGTTTTCCATTCCCTAGTTTAGAAATCCTAGGTAGGAACAAATCCATACTTATATAAATTGTCTAGTGATTTGAGTAACTGATTTTTATTGCCCCTTCCCCTCGCACATCGGTTCACATTTTCAAGTCCTAATCTTTATCGCTAATTCCATGTTTCTTTGTCCTCCTTTATTTTTACTTTTACTTTATGCCGTATTTTTTTTCTTTTTCACATTTTTCTTTTAATCTTCTTTGGTCTCTCCTTTTCTATACCACCTCACTGCCGTGTTTCTGCTTCTAGAAATCTCATATTCCTTTTATCCTTTCTCCTTCCCTGAGTGTCCAGTGTCTAAAGAGACTTGCAGGTGCTGCTGGTAAGGAGTTGGAGTTCTATCTTGTTTAGGAAATAAAGCCTCATAGAATAGGGCTAAGGCAGGAAATTTCCCTGAAATTCCTCTTGCAATTTCCTTTGATTTGTTCACTGAGAGAGCAGGTTTAAATATGTGATTGGGCCTGCTCCAGCACACATCAGATCCCCTGAAAGCCGTAGATTGTCAGGACCCTGATCCTGTGCCCCTACTTTGTGTCCTCAGCACCCTGACCATTCCTCTACACAGAAGATGGTGTGAGAAATTAGTGACTTTGATACATTAGTTGTATGGCATGAAATGGTCAGAATTTGTTACAGTACCTGGCGATTTTAATCGATCTTGATAGTCCGGTGTATATGGATTGATTGTCCTCATTAAGGAATATATTGCGAGTGAAAACAGCCCAGTCATCACCACATAGAAAGCAACATAGTACAGACTGATCCACACTGTGGAGAAAATGTATTAACAATATCAAGTTAAAGTGAAAATGAGGGAAAGTTCTTCCTGCTATGTTTACTTTTTGGTAGATGCCATTATGACTAAAAAACTTGAAACGACTAGGAAAGTGGCGAAGCAAAGAACAGAATCTTGTTTTGAACTTGTGTATAGTGGGAGTCATAGATATCCATCATCTTCTAGAATTGGGCCCTAAGTTTGGTATTTTGAGTCTAATTTTTTTAAAAATTCTGGAAGATGTTGTGAATTCATCTTATAAAGAAGATAATAAAGATGTAGAATAATATACCACTGGATATTATTTATTGACTGATAAATTTCTTTTAACTCATGTAAATTTGGATAGCTTGAAAGAAGGAGTAGAAGGCTTCCCATTACACTATACAAAAGTTGATTATTTTTTACTTAGCTGGTGCACAGATTATAAATTGAAAAATCTGTGCAGCTTCTTAGCATAACTATTTTTGCATGTTCACCCTACTTGTCTGTGCATTTCATATGAAGGATATAAAACAGTTCTGGTGAATTTCACTGATACCACCAATCTGCTAAAAATATGATTTGGTCACAAATCCCATTTACACTGATTTCACACTTTATCACTGAACCCTCTTCTGGTAAATCCCTTCTCACTGCTCCCTGGTTTACATTGGTGTGAGTTTAGAAACAGGCTCTGTTTCTTCATACTTGTGTATAAAATACCTAGCATGCTGTTAGTTCCATATACATAATTCATAAAATAATCCAGATGGAATAAGTTTTAAAAAATCATTAATTTTTTATCATATAACCCCTGCACTCCGCAATATTAGGAAAGGTTAATTTTAAGTAGATTTTCTTTTAAATTTAAAAATTGCTCTTAAGATGCATTGTATCGAGTTTCTGCTTAGATAAACATCTTACAGGCAAATCTGCTATCTCATGAAAAGAGTGGGGGTGAGGGGGAGAAACATTAGTATCTGTAAACAAGAAACCTTAAATCAGTTAGAGCTTAGCTTCTTTGAATGTATGCCACGAAACATACAGTTATTTTATAGAAACAAGGAGGAGTCCTCTGGCGTCTTAAAGATTATCAGACTTATTTTGGGCATAAGTTTTCACGGGTAAAACCACTGTTGCAGATACAGACTAACATGGCTACTCCCTTAAACTTCAGGGGGTAGCTGAGTTAGTCTGTAACAGAAAATAAACAACAAATGGTCTGGTACTTGTTATTGTAAAGGCAGGGTTGATGATGGATGGATTGCTTTGAAATGTGCATCTGTGTGCTGGGTTTAAACAGCAGATTTACTTAATAGAAAGGATATCAGAAAAATAATTTGGGAAAAGTAAACAATATTTCCAAATACTTGGATCAGAAATTTAACTTCATTTGCTTCCCATATAGTCCTGAAGAGAGAGAGGAAGAGGAAAAAAAACAGTTTGGCTGTGTCTAAACTGGCAAGTTTTTCCGGAAAATCATCTGCTTTTCCGGAAAAACTTGCCAGCTGTCTACACTGGCCACTTGAATTTCCGGAAAAGCACTGACGATCTCATGTAAAATCATCAGTGCTTTACCGGAAAAACTATGCTGCTCCCATTTGGGCAAAAGTCTTTTTCCCAAAGACTTTTGCGCAAAAGGGCCAGTGTAGATAACATAGTACTGTTTTCCGCAAAAAAGCCCCAATCGTGAAAAAGGCGATCGGGGCTTTTTTGCGGAAAACTGCGTCTAGATAGGCCATGGACGCTTTTCTACAAAAAGTACTTTTGCGGAAAAGCATCCTGCCAATCTAGACGCACTTTTCCAAAAATGCTTTTAACGGAAAAATTTTCCGTTAAAAGCATTTTCGGAAATTCATGCCAGTGTAGACGTAGCCTTCCTGTCTTGTCTATGTTATCATGACATATGATAATTTCTGTAGTCTGGAGCATTTGAAACAGCCAATGAAAATCAAAAGAAGTTTTGGGTACACAAAAACTACAAAGCCAGTCCCGCCTCCCTACCCCCACCCCGTTAATCCTGATGTCAGAATCATGTCATACTTAAAACAGATAAGTATTAATAATTAAAGATTATCTTAACAGGTATCCCTGACAATAATTTGAACAAGAATGGTTTAAAAAGTTTCTCATACTTGAGGAAAATACTTGGACCAGTTTTTCTTTATTAAAATGGCCTGTTATATAGCCAATTGTTGTTAACCTTTGATATGATGTCTATAAACTGATCAGAAATGTTAAGTCCTGGTGAAAGAGCACTCAATTGTATGCAGTCTGGCTTTGGTAGACATTCTGAAAAAACACTGTCTTGTCATAGTATATTATAATTATTTTTCAGTTTCATAAATCATGGAACCATGTGCATTAGATATGGATGTCAAAGGAGATATTGTCATTGATTTAGCTGGGAGCGGGTCTTAAGAACTTAATTATTTTAATCTTTCTATATAAATCAATCATGCCACTACCTTAATCATTTTGTTTGCTCCTTTCTGTGCTTGGTCCATTTTTTCCAAATAATTCTTTCATTGTCTTGTTTTAAATTATTCCTAAAGCTGTACATTTCATCCTAATGGTTGTTTGGGAATTTTAGTCATGGCAAAAAAAAATCTGTCAATATGTAAAAGTCTTTAGAGATTCCAAATATCTTCATTCAATACCTTCATCCTAAGAAACATTACAGAAAAGGAACTCATGCGTTTACTAAATATCTCATCAACCCCTGTGATGACTCGCAAGTAAGCCATGAAAATTAAAGATCTTCATGACCATGCAATAGTCATCATATCATCCTACCAAATTAACGAGGGACAAACAAAAACAAAAGTCATGCAGCTTCCTAACAGTACTAGAAAGAAGAAAAGATTGTTGCTTTTGTAAAAGTATGTGACCACATACCCCAGTTAATTAAGGTCCTTCCCATTAACTGTCCTGTATCTGGATTCCAGACAAAACGCTTGAAATTTTCCATCCGTTGGCTGCAGGTCTTCTTTTCATTTAAAGCTGCCATTTTCTCAAAAAAACCCAAAACAAAAACAAAACCCAAACACACAGACAACCCCTGAAAACCAAAGGAAAACCAGAAACCAAGAAATTCAACTGATGCCCAAACAGCTAGTCAAGAAGAACACTCTCCTTTTTATACTTTCCTTCCCTGAAGGTCAAACAGATTACACCCAATATCAACAAAACCACCTAATCACAAAATATTGTCCTTTACAAACATTGCTGATAAAGTCCAATGTTCAGGTTGGCAAAGAAAAATGAGTTGCTATCAAATGTCCTTCTGTTTTCTCTTTAATACCTCAGTAGATCGGCAACATTACACATTTTGTACAGCAACTTTAGAGCTTGTGATACATTCAGGCTTGATAGCTATTATCGAAGCAGATAAAGTTACAGAGCATTGCTTCCCTGCATTTTTTTTCCTTTTTAATAACCTCCAATGAGTGGACCAAATTCTACCCTTACATCACAAAAAATCCCCATCAATGGGCTTGCTTGAGGAATAAGTTGTAGCAGAATTAGGTTAATTATCCATTCGGTTTGCCACCTTTCACAAGTACAATGAGAATTTCTCCTTGCTTTCTATTATAATCTCTGATTGTATTAGTTTGGCCACATGAAGGATACTAGTATCATTTACTTCATATCCCTGTTTCATTCACTATACAGCATTGTACCAAATGAAGCAAGGGTCCCACAGAAAAAATGCCGTGTAAAAATTATAATGCGTGTGTATAATGAAGCAGAAGTATGCTGGCAAACTTAACTTTAGCATTCACTTCACCTAAAACTTGGGTTCCCCAAAGATATTTTCTTCATTTTATGCATGAGGAGTAGTCCAGGTGAAATCAATAGTTGTGTGAGTCTCTGTAGGATCAGGATCATAAAGTACTTTTGGCTAGTTTTTTTTTTCTGAAAAGAAGAAAGGGTGTAGTTTTAGGACTCGATCTGTTTTAAAAACAAGAAGTCCTTTGACACCTTAGAGACTAAGAAAAAGTATTATCCATTTATAAAAGAGCAGGCTCTGATAAGTTCTACTAGCACCCACAAAAATAGAGGTTTAGAATTTAGTTTTTTAAGATCCCTGACCTCTTGACATGCTGTGATTTTAACCACACCACCATCCTTTAGCCTTATACCTGATGTTAAGTATCTGTGTTAACCTACTGTCAGAAATATCTAGGATTAAATCTGGGTCCCACTGAAGTTAACAGCAAAACTTTCTGACAATTCAATGGCACCAAGTTTTCACTTCAATACATAGCTGTATCTGATATTTCTTGATTTCCATTCATTTCAAAGGACAGTGGAGGCAGTCTGGGGTGGCAGCAGCCCCTGTCTGTGGGGAGTTCCAAGCTCCCTATGGACAGAAGCTGCTTTGTCACGGGCTCTCCTGCCCTCCCTTCCTCCCCCGCTGACGCAAGCAGTGGGGGTGACAGGCAGCACCGTGGAACTGGTGCATGGGGGAACTGGCTTTTAAGCCAGCTCCCCCCAGCACCAGCTCCTGCCTGTCCCCCCTCACAGCTCCTATAGGAGGCAGCAAGGGGGGGCAGGCAGGTCCATGGGAGCCAATTCACATGGAGAGCCTGCTTGAAAGCCAGCTCCGTGTGTGTATTTGCTCCCACCTACCTCCCTCACTCTTCGCGCTGCTGCCTTTCTTTCAGAGGCAGCAGTGTGGGGGTAGGGAGGGCAGGAGGATCCAGTGCTTGTGAGGAGCCTGCTGAAAGTCAGCTCCTCAGGGGTACTGGCTCCTGCTTCTGATACAGTGGCAGCAGTGTGGGTGGAGAGTACATATAGTCGATAGGACTAATCTAAAAATCTAGGTTTATTGGTTAATTGTTTATTTGACTACATGCTAATGTCCCTAGTAATAAGACCAACTTAAGTCGTATGATAAATGGCCTACACAAGGCTCTGTACTTGCACCAATCTTTTTTAATTTTACAAATGACATGACTCCAACTAAAATCATGAAAATTTGGATATGCAGATAATTCTGTTATGACAATCCAAGCACCAAACCTTCATGGCATAGAGAGAGCATTAACTATGGAATAATACTTGGAGGCTTAAACCAACCTCTGGAAAAATAATAGTAAGTGCACTTCATTTTAATAATATAACACATTGAAAGTAGCTTTCCGTGGTAAAAAATGTGACATGATTACATTCCAACATATCTAGGAGTGAGACTTGAATGCCCCTTCACCTTCCATGATCACCTTAAGAAAGCAGCTGCTAAGATAAAAATGAGAGCCAACATATCCCAAAAACTAGCAGGTGCATCTAGAGTGCATCGGTATCAGTGCTGCAAACATCAGAAAGAGCAGTTCTATATTTGATAACTGAATATTGTGCACTGGTATGGAGCAGATGCAGCCACACATGACTTGTGGGCACCCAGCTGAGTACAGTGATGGAACCCATAAGTTGATTCCAACACAATAGCTACCTGTTGTGTCTAACATCCACCTCCCTTTCTGGCCAATATGTCAAATTGATGCAACATTTCGCAAAACTCAGTGAATCCAGAAAAGCAGATGTCTTCTTATCCACTAAATCCCTGACAATACACCCATCCAAAGCTCTTAAGTCCTGCAAGCCTTTCTGGGAACATTTGTTTAGCCTCATGCAATCAGGCTATGATCAGAAGGAAGCGTGGAAAGCAGATTGGGCTAAACAAGACTGAGAAAATAAGCACCTTATGCTGGATCCCAGACACAAGGCTCCTTCCATAGTCATCTTGATCAACTCTGAATCGAATCTGATCCCACCATTGTAGATGCAGACATCTAATGCACAAGTGGAAAATTAAGGGCTCCCTGGTGTATGAGCATGGCTTCCCACAACAAAGCACTGAACAGACCACATCTTCTTGTCTAATTTATAAATGTGAAGGAGGCATTACTGCAATAAATTCTGCTACTCCTGATGTAGCCATTTGGCTTGATCAACTTCACATGAAATGGTAGTTGCTGCTCTCCACCAGCCACACGAAAGGAGAATTTGTAATGAGATGTCCACTTAACACTTCTTCTGGATGCTTTGCATTTAGCCATTTGCTGATAAAAGATATTCATTTCCTGAAAGTTAACTAAATATAACCATGGTGCAGAAGAGGGAATCCAAATAAGTCAGACAGTCACAGGATAAGTGTCTAAGTGAGGACACAATGGGGAAGTAAATTCAATGTAAATCAGATAGTAAGGTGATAGGTAAGAGCTGGAATGGATTTGTAAAGAACAAATCATATCAAACCAATCTGATAGCTTTCTTTGATAGGATAACAAGTCTTGTGGATAAGGGAGAAGAGGTGGATGTGCTATACCTAGATTTTAGTAAGGCATTTGATACAGTCTCGCATGATATTCTTATCAATAAACTAGGCAAATACAACTTAGATGGGGCTACTATAAGGTGGGTGCATAACTGGCTGGATAACAGTTCTCAGAGAGTAGTTATTAATGGTTCACAATACTGCTGGAAAGGTATAACAAGTGGGGTTCTGCAGGGGTCTGTTTTGGGACTGGTTCTGTTCAATATCTTCATCAACGATTTAGATGGTAGCCTAGAGAGTACGCTTATTAAGTTTGCAGATGATACCAACCTGGGAAGGGTTGCAACTGCTTTGGAGGATAGGGTCATAATTCAAAATGACCTGGACAAACTGGAGAAATGGTCTGAATAAATAAGATGAAGTTTAATAAGGACAAATGCAAAGTACTCCACTTAGGAAGGAAATTACTTGTTTGATATGGCCCAATTTTAGCATTCAATATAAATATTCACCTCTTGATGATTCCATGGCAAGTTGGACAAAAGGAAGGTTTTAGGTGCTTAAAGAGAAATTAAGTGAAGTGGTAAGACAGGTTGTAGCAAGGGATAAGAAAGGAGGTTACAAACAGCTTTTCCCAAGTACTCTTTTGAAGGATTTAGGGCATATTTTTTCTTTCAGGTTCTACTGCTTTTTCTCTTCGGTGTGCACTCTAGAGATTTATGCACCAGTGGACCAAGTATCAGTTTCCTATTGTTACACAACAGTGGCTGACTACATGCTGTGTGTTTAAAAATGTATGACTTTGTAATGGAAGAAAGGCACCCAATTCTTTCCCATAACTTTGCACAAAAGAATAACAATATAATGGTCAAAGCATGTGAAAGTTTAAGTGAAAACAAAATGCTTTTTTTGGGTTTCATATCCAAAACACCTGTCTTAGCAAGTAAGGGTATGGGAAAAAAAAGCATACACACTTCATAACACAGCTTGCAGCCGGTGCATTCAACCGTCATTAGTGCAGGGCGGGGACCTACTGGCTCTAAACCCAATGTTTGTTCTTACTGATGCAAAGGGACATATCCCTCTTTGGAGGTAAGAGCCCTAATGAAGGTGTGGACAAGCTGAGGCAAAGTTGCTATGGGTTATCTACTCCTGTCCTGCTGCTGCTATAGAATATTCTCCCTGCAACTACTCAGTTCACCACAGGCTATTTTGCAACAGAGCCACTTTCTCACCCACTTTGACATGGAATTGTGCTGGAAATGTCATAAACTATGTGAATCCTTTTGCTTGGCAAGTTCCCTGGCTCTTTTAAAGGCTGATTTCTGTTCAGCCATATCTTTTACAAAATCCTTGAAAAATCCTCCTGGTAGCATTGCCCAAGTAGTTCTCTCTTCCCCTCCTTCCCCCACCCCCACCCCAGCTAGCTGCATTAGTTTGTTTTGTACAATAAATCTGAGATATTTGATAATCTGTCCTTGACGTTTGGTATTTAAGCTCGTTTAGGAGCCAGAGGCCTGTGGGCTCTCCATAAGTAAGGGGAAAATGCACAACTGCTCATGTGTGAGAACTAATTTGTCTTTATAAACAGGCTAGTAGACTGCAGTGAAACAAGTGCAACACGGAGACACCAGAATATTGCGGTAACCCTTCCACTTGCTTTGTCAGTTCATTTTTAACTAATTCCTAGACCCTGGTCAGAATTCCTAGAGGTAAGTCCATTTGGCACATTCGTCAGTGTTATCCAGATGACCTCACTTCAAGTGGTCACATTCTTGGCTGATAAAGAAATGGAGTGAGAGACCTTGAAA